TGCACCATGTCATGTTACTAAGTTAGAATTCACAAAATTACATGTTAATTATAGAAGAGTATGATATATATAGGGTTACTTACTGACTTATTTACACCTGTTACTCCTAATCAAGCATAGACCACCGATCCACTTCCAGCGCTTCTTCCTGATTTCTTCCTCCGCTAGGATCTGATTTGTTCTCTCTCACGGTAGATTGTTGCAAATAGTGTCCGACCAACGGATCAGAAGTATTTTGAGTAGAAAACTGTTAATAAACACCTGTATCTTCTGGATGATGGCCTTTGTAGTTCTCCAGGTTTCCGCCCCATACAGTAAAACTGTCTTGACATTTGTATTGAAGATGCTGACTTTGGTGTTGGTTGACAGTTGTTTTGAGGTTCCAGATGTTCTTCACTTGTAAACATGGTGCTCTTGATTCGCCGATCCGCGCCTTCATATCTGCATCGGGAAATATTATATCCCGATGAGAATAATGAATGGTAACTTTTGAGAACTATTTATGGACCAATACAATACATATATTTTTATTGTATAATTATTAATTAGCTAAGCTATGCATATTCATATTCCTCTTATTATAAGCATTATATTGAACTATGAACTGTAGTGTGTTCTTTGGCCTTCCTCTTTTCCTCTTCCCTTCAGGATTCCAAGTTAGGGCTTGCGTAGTGATGCAGTTTGATGATTTCCTCAATGTATGTCCTATCCATTTCCATCGTCTTTTCCTAATTTCCTCTTCCGCTGGAAGCTGGTTGGTTCTCTCCCACAAAAGGCTGTTGCTGATGGTATCCGGTCAATGGATGTTGAGTATGCTGCGTAGACAGCTATTGATAAATACTTGTACTTTCTTGATGGTGATTGTTGTAGTTTTCCGAGTTTCAGCTCCGTACAGTAGAACTGCCTTGACGTTGGTATTGAAGATTCTGACTTTGATATTGGTTGATATTTGTTTTGAGTTCCATGTGTTCTTCAATTGAAGGAACGTGGCCCTTGCTTTGCCAATCCTCGCATTTACGTCTGCATCTGAACCTTCTTGTTTGTCGACAATGCTTCCCAGGTATGTGAAGGATTCCACCTCTTCCAGAGTTTCGCCATCAAGAGTGATCGGATTGCTGTCAACAGATAAAAGTAGTATGTATCATCAGTTGAAAGTGAAATACCTGATGAGACAGAAGGTTAAAAAGATCAAAGAAGGAGAAAACGAAAACAAAAAATGATTATTGTGAAAATGAAGGAACAGTAAATTCTAAGACTATGGATTGACATTTTGTAAATGAAGTATTCACTGTATGGTTCTCAGATTTTACAAACAGATTCTGCAATTTGTTTGTTGAAATACATTCGCCCCCAAATGCCCTGGGGACAGTTTGCTCTCCCTCTCGAAATGCTCTCGCATGGCCACGCGTATATAGTCTCTGCCAGCGAAATCATACTCAATGCCTTCTCGTGGTGGGACTATTGTTTACGAAATTAAGAGGACGAATAGCGAATTTTGAGCGCTTTAACAGGGTTGGTGGACACGGAGAGTCCACCTAAGGGAGTTGGAAAAGCCTGATTCCAAACTAATGGTGCTCATGGGCTCCAGTACTCTCAGGGAACAAATGGTGTATGAACCAATAGTTGGTCACCGGCTGCCATGGGACTGCATCTGCTTACGATGCTCCACTGTCTTGTAGATCAGACCTTTAGGTCGTAGGTTCCAAGAGTGGCCCCCTAACAAAATCATCTGCTTAGGTTTGGGCACACATGCGGTATCACAGCACTCACATCAATCAAATGAGATTTGTGTGGCGCATATGTATCTGGTGCCCCTTTGTACCAATATTTATGTGTCCAAATAAATAAATAAATAATAAATCAAATACATTCGATTGTCCCCCATTTATGTTCTCATTCACTACAGAATGATGTAGACAGAAAATGATATTGTTATCCAGAAAAGAGAAAAATTGTTAAAATTGATCAACTCATAGAAAAGATATATAACTTCTCATTCTTTCGTCCTAGTATGGGACTCCTCAGCATCATCTGCTCATTAGTGATTGACTTCAAGAGACACTCCTGGAGTACTAGTGAGAAGCCGTGAATAGTGGATTTCAATCAGGTCTGTCGTGAGATATCAGCTCGTTGAAGACAATAGTGACGGTAGCGCGATTTCATGGATTGGTTGAAGTTAGACATTAACACCGTTGGATGCCGGCCGACTAAGTGGTCTAATGGTTAAGCGCTCGCACGCGAGACTGGTAGGTCCTGGGTTCGAATCTCGCGGGCGGCAGGACCTTGGATGCGCACTGCTGAGTCCCATACTAGGACAAAACGGCCGTCCACTGCTTCCAGATTTTCCATAGTGGTCTAGCTTCAATTGGCTCATGGTTTCAACTAGTGAAATTTCTAAAATCTCCACAAAACCCCTTCTGACACTATGTAAATCCCAATTTGATTGACTTTAAAGGTTATAACATAAGATTAGCATTTCAACCTATCTACATCATTAAATAAGTATAAAGATGATTATTATTAAATAATATGAAGATTAACATACACTGTAATGGTACCCTTCTTTATAAACTAAAATCTGTTAGAGAATCCTTATGAGGTGAATAGAACTAAGAATAGAGATTTTCGCATAGGTTGAGAAACTAACAAATGCAAAGTTCATAAATTTGATCCTGGAATCAAGTCTGGATGTGATCCCATGGCTATCTCATCTATTTGTTTATAACTTTAACGATAAATAAAGATACAATTGTATGTTTATCATAATTTCAATAAAGACGTCAATATTTGGGGGGAAGCATGGGATACAGTGGACAGCTAGAATGCAGTTGGACGATCTAAACTTCACGGATGGTCTGGCTCTTCTATCGCACACGCAACAACAAATTCAGGAGAAGACAACCAGTGTAGCTGCAGCCTCAGCAGCAATAGGTCTCAATATACACAAAGGGAAAAGCAAGATTCTCCGATACAACACAGCATGCAACAATCCAATCACAATTGACGGAGAAGATTTGGAAGACGTAAATACTTTTACATATTTGGTCAGGATCATCGATGAACACGGTGGATCTGATGCAGATGTGAAGGCACGGATCGGCAAAGCAAGAGCAGCATATTTACAACTGAAGAACATCTAGAACTCAAAACAATTGTCAACCAACACCAAGGTCAGAATTTTCAATGCAAATGTCAAGACAGTTCTACTGTATGGGGCCGAAACCTGGAAAACCACGAAAACCATCATCCAGAAGATACAGGTGTTTATTAACAGTTGTCCACGCAAATTGCTTCTGATCCGTTGGCCGGACACTATTTGCAACAACCTACTGTGAGAGAGAACACACCAGATTACATAGGAGGAAGAAACGATGGAAGTGGATAGGACATGCAGTGAAGAAAGCACCCAAGTGCGTTACAAGGCCAGCCCTCAAATGGAATCCTTAAGGCCAAATGAAGAGAAGAGGAAGACCAAAGAACACATTACGCCGAGAAATGGAGATAGACTTAAGGAAACTGAACAGAAATGGGATAAACTAGAAAGGAAAGCCCAGGATAGAGTGAGTTGGAGAATGTTGGTCGGCGGCCTATGCTCGATTGAGAGTAACAGGCTTAAGTAAGTAAGTTATCATAATTTCAACCGAACAGTTAATATTTTCAAAAAATATAACCTGACATGTCGAATATTAAGATTGTATTTATGTCTTACTTACCTCTGTTACTCCACGTCGAGAAGCACAGGCCTCCCACCAGCATTCAGCATCTAACTCTGTTATGAGAAATCGTTTCCAGTTGCTATTCATGCTTTACATGTCTGCTTCCAATACGCGACGCCGTGTGTACTTTGGCCTTTCCGTTTTCCGCTTCCCTTCAGGATTCTAAGGTAGCACTTGCGTCATTATGTGTTTTCTATTCACTTCCAACGTCTTTTCCTAATTTCCTCCTTAGCTAGAATTTGGTTTGTCCTCTGCCACAGTAGGTTGTTGATGATGATATCCGACCAAGGGATATTGAGTATCTTGCGTAGTCAATTGTTTATAAATATTTGTGGTAGTTCTCCACGTTTCATCTTCGTACAGTAGAACTATCTTGACCTTCGTATTGAAGATTCTAACTTTGATATTGGTTGATAATTGTTTTCAGTTCCTGTTATAACGTTCCGTCGTTGATTGTTATAACGCTCGGTATTACTTTGTCTGATGTTGTCACGCTTAACGATTATCTACACTAGATCCCTCCCAGTGTCTATTCTACAGGACTTCAACACAACTCAGATCAAGAACACGTAATCAGCCTGACCAGAACGTAATATATTTCACACCCAAAACATCCGACACAATCCACAACAATGAACAATCAATAAAGATGCATATAAGAGTGTGAGTCACAATAATAAGGGTAAGGGAGTATATAACCTATTTGCCACCTATCAGACTGTCTACATGTCTGACTAAGCAGACAACCAATCACGATCGTTCGCGCCCACACAACAGTTCCATATATTCTTCAATTGTAGGAATGCATCTTTCGCTTTGCTTATCTGTACCTTCTCATCTTTATCAGATCCTCCTCGTTCATCGATGATACCACTGACTAAGTACGTAAAAAACTACACCTCTTCAAAAATTTCTCCATCACGTGTGATTCAATTGATGTTCTCCATGTTGTATTTGAGGATCCACGTTTTCCCTTTGTGTATATTAATAGTGCAGAAACTTTTGCTACACTATCTCTCTTCATCAGCATTTGTTTGTATGTATGGCATAGAAGAGTTAGGTCGTCTGTGAAGTACAAATCTTCTAACTGATTCCCAACTGTCCATTGTATTCGATGTTTTCTCTTACATGTTAAGGTTATAACCCAGTCGACAACTAGAAGAAACAGATAGGGCGACAGTAAGTAACCTTGTGTAATCAGTAATATGAACCCTTCTTTGACGAAATAAAAAAAACCTTTTCTCTCTCTCTCTCTCGTTTTCACCAAATTTTTTTTCTTCCTAGATTCAATTTGAATTATTTAAAATTTATGAAAAATTGAATTCATTTGAAACACAATTAGAACCATTTTATGAAACAGCATGTCAACAAATAGAAATGACAAATAATCAATTAAATGTTACCGATAGATTGATTGGTTATAGGAATAATTTAAATAATATCAGTTCTACTAAATATACTCAAGTAAGTATAAAATAGTTGCTATGACAAATGATTTGACATTGATGTTTCTTTCTTGTATTTAAACAAATGGATTGTTTAAAAAAATAGTGTCTAGTGGTTTAGTGCTCGCACATGAAACCAGTAGGTCCTGGGTTCGAATCTCGTGAAGGGGTGAGGTCATGGATGCGCATTGCTGAGGAGTCTCACGATAGAACGAAACGGCCGTCCAGTGCTTTGAGGTTTTCCATGGTGGTCTAGCTTCAATTGACTCATAATCTTAACCATTGAAATTACTATAATATTGACAAAACCCATCTGATATAAAAAAGTGTATTTTGTTATCTAAAGGGTTCGAAACTCATTTAGTCAGTCAGAAGTTCGGACCAATCTGTTGTGTGATGAGACTGCCTAAAGACGACACAGGCGGTGATGGGATACGCCAGTCGCGTTCTCACACCCGCTGAACAGAAGTATTCAACGATTGAAAAGGAGTGTTTAGCTATCGTGTGGGTAGTAGACAAATGGAGACCGCACCTTTTAGGTAGACGGTTCCACATTGAGGCTGACCATAAACCCCTGAAGCGACTGAAAACAGCATGGGACTCTCGTGGGAAGTTGGCGCGATGGATGGGCGAGATTATAATTTATGGTCGACCTTTGAACGAATCATATGTGACCTTGAGAGATATTAGCCAATCAGAAAACAGTTAGTATAAAGTAAAAATACATTATACAAAACCAAGGAATTAAAGTGGATACACTTCTCTTATATGGTTCAAAAACTGGTCAAGGTTAGAAAGAGATTCAGAGGTTCTAAAGTCGTAATGAATACAGTAGAGGAAATCATCTATATGGCCCCATAATCGTCGGCCTCTTGAGCCATGACAAAGTCACAAAATTTTTTTCAGTCTCAACCATATAGCTTAAGTATTTTTTGTGTTCACTTTGGTTGTTGGGTCCACAAAATGCCACTTGTAGATAATGACACGATGCACATAATCAAGTCTATGTAGACATCTGTACGCTCTCCAAATCATCCGTATACATTGTAGTATCCGGCTACAGCCAGTGTTACTGGTTCTGTTATTATCCAGTTCGCAACACTTGTCATATGTTGCATTAGTCTCAGTCTGAATCGAGCGATAATATCCTATCCTAATAGACTTCTTCCTCCGATGTACATCGGAAGGCAACATCATCACGGTAGTCTGCACAAGTCAGTTGATTACTACAATCACAAATAAAGGAACTTCTTAGTAGTCCCATTTATTTTAGTCGCTCAATTAACACGTTTTCTCTAAATTCCACTGTGAAACGATCGTACGTGAATATAAGGTACTGAAATTGGCGCCCTGATCTTGAAATCCATGAAACGCTTCTGATTGGCTCGTCCATAGATTATAGTTTCTCCACGACACCTATACCATGATCACTTGCATCTGTGGCCACTGTAAACGGTTTCTCGGGTTCAGGCAATCTGTGCGTCATCTGGTGGTCGTGTAGAATGTTTTGATACGGTTGAACGTTTATTGGGAAGTCGCAGTCCTCGTAAACTTAAATTTGCTCAACGACTTATATAGGGATGCTGCTACTTCGTAGAAGTTCTTGAAAAACACATCATAATATTTCTAAAGCTATAAACGTGCTGTTCGGTTTCGTATCAAAAATGTTTTAGTTGTGAACCTTTAGAAATCTAGAAGTTATCGTACGATCGTACTCATGTAAGAGGAATATTTAATCGATAAAAACTGGACAGATTACGTAACGAATCGTAAAAAGTACAAATCAGTAGTAAGATAACAAGTGTATTAGTATTTATTTTAACACATAGATATTGTTTCAAGGGGACACCAAATACATATGCGCCACACAGATCTCATTTGATATGTGTGAGGGCTGTGATACTGCCCGGGTGCCCAAACCGAACCAGGTGGTTTTCTTAGGGGGCCACACCTCGAGCCTTCGACTTAAAGGTCTGACCCACAAGGCAGTGGAGCATCGTAAGCAGATGCAGTCCCATGGTAGCCTGTGACCAACGATTGGTTTATACGCCATTTGTTCCTTCAGGATACTGGAGCCCATGTGCACCATTGGTTTGGGATCCGGTTAAAGCGCCGGACGTTCGCTTTTCGTAAACAACACCCCCGCCACGTGAAGGCAGTGAGTAGGACTTCCCTGGCAGAGGCTATATACGCGTGGCCATGTGAGAGTATTTCGAGAGGGAGAGCTGACTCTACCCGCTCTCGGCCGTACCAGGGCATTTGGGGGATAAAAAAACATGACAATTAGATGTCTCAACAGTAAAGAGTAGGTGAAAAATTAAAATCACTTGATACAAAATGTGTATGTATGTATGTCAATCATCAGCTTAAACAAAAGTGTTTCTTAACAAAGGAAGGGATAGGTACATTACAAGACTAGAAAGTTACTGGCTTGAATACTTATAACCTTCACGATGTGTAATATACGAGTTCGAACTCAATCTAAAGAATGAAATGTGAAACTATAAATCAACATTTAGATTTCTACTAATGAATTAGAAATCATACATTCTACCTAGAAGGATCTTGGAATTTTTCGGTAGTAATTTATACTGTTACAACAGTTCAACATCCCATGCAATCGCTAGCCAGATTAGATCAGTCGATTGTTGATATACTGATAGTCTATAAAATATATTTTCGAACCTCTTCGCTTCTGTCTTCTGATTTCACTTGATGAATACCATTCATAGTGGAAGGTGCTACTGGTTAAAGCGTTGTCAAACTCCAAATACCTGTGGCATCTTCACGCTGTAGACTCACATGGTGGCATAATATATTGATTTATTGAACATATAGAGGAAGCCAGTATTAAATGTTCACAAAGGGATGAAATCGGTCATTTATTTAGTTTGCTCATATGGTGAATTGTATTTTATATTACCTGAAAACATTACAATTTACATAATTATAGGTATATCAGCCTGAATTTAGTCAAGAGAAAAGACCTCGTATCGCTCCACGATTTAATATTCCCAATTATGATCAAATAACTTATGATCCATTGAACCAATCAAATAAAAGCTATGAGACAAAGCAGAATGAAGTTCAATGGCCACCAACGATTCAGGTAATTTGTTGAAGACTTTTTTTAAAAAAAATTTAGTCAGTCATTTACAACACAACACCATTTCAAAGTAGAATACTGAAAAAAATATTAACTCCAGAAAATCTATTTGCTTTACTGTTTCAAATACAGATAGAATTTAATCAATAACTTTTAGATAACTATTTCTAAATCGGTAAGTAACTATGAACTCGCATCCAATCAGGTAATGTTGAAGGAAAACTGAGTATTTATATGTTCATTATCACATTCTTAAAGCAGTATGATACCGAAAAAAATCCAGCTGTTATTGTGGATTCAGTCAGTTATAAACAATAGAGAATCTTATTTATTTATTTATTTTAACACAAGTATAGGTACAGGGAGGCACCAAATACATATGCGCCACACAAATCTCAATTGATTTGTGTGAGGGCTGTGATACTGCCCGGGTGCCCAAACCGAAACAGGTGGTTTTCTTAGGGGGCCACACCTCGAGCCTTCGACCTGAACGTCTGACCCACAAGGCAGTGGAGCATCGTGAGGAGATGCAGTCCCATGGTAGCCGGTGACCAACGATTGGTTCATACGCCATTTGTTCCCGCATAATACTGGAGCCCATGTGCACCATTGGTTTTGGGTCCGGTTAAAGCGCCAGACATTCGCTTTTCGTCCTCTCATTTTTGTAAACAACACCCCCGCCACGAGAAGGCAGTGAGTAGGACTTCCCTGGCAGAGGCTATATACGCATGGCCATGTGAGAGCATTTCGAGAGGGAGAGCGGACTCTCCCCACTTTCGGCCGTACCAGGGCATTTGGGGGCATCTGTGATGTATATCCATTGGTTAAAGTTGACACACCTCGTATCAGCACAACCAGGTGAAAGTTTCAAAGCAAATGTTTATAATAGTAAATATACTAGCAATGTCAATGAGAGCGTAGAAGATTAGGCATACACAATGTGACTTGATAAAGAATAAATCTGTGAAGTAGTAAAGTATACGATAATTTCTAAAACTCAAGATCTAAAGATAGACAAAGAATGAGTACGTCCGTGTTATTATGTCCGATTCCGAGCCATATCATCCGACGACTCCAAACACTGTTTACAATAATAGAGTGGACCGCAATCAGGTCGCATCAATAAGGCGTCATACAGTACCGCCAGGACAGAGGTATAAATACTAAAGACACATTTCTCAACTAAGACTTCCTAGTTATTCCTCAGTCTTTTCACTAGTCACCATATAGGAGGTAAGCATGTTAAGTGGGTGAAGGTCATTATTTCCACTACTTGTTGGGTTATGAATGAGACAACGCGGGTGAAAAAGCTGTGAAATTAGCCTTCATTTTCAATGTTGCTTTTGTTGATGTCAGCCCATGAAAGGCCACTAGTTTCAACTTGTATTTTTGTTGACGAGGTATACATTATTATAGCAAGTTGACTGTCGAGATGACGTTTTCATACGATTAACTTTGCATTCCAAATCAAGCGTACAATTTATCGAATGACAGTTTAGTAAAATGTTTCAGATTTTATATAACTATCCACTATCCAGTTTAAGTAGTATAAAATGTCAAATTGAAATTCACTAGTTTCCTTATCCTCTCCTACTTTCATCCACCGAAAACACAGGAAAAAGCAGGAATATGTATCAAGTATCCTGGTGAGTCAGAAACTCATTCGGCATTCACAAAACCAAGTCATTGTGTATCAGAAGTTTTAACAAATCATGGTCAACTACGTGTATGTAAACCAGGCTATCAAATTAATCCACATTCAGAAATTAAATTAGACGGATATGGTCCTATCAAACAGTATGAATTGAATAAAATGGAACAATCCGAGTATATACAAACATATACTTGGCCAGATGGCAAAAAGATACACACAAGTCCATGGAACAGATTACGAGAAGCTAATCAATTGTATGGTGTTAAATAAGTTGGATAATTGGGTCGCATTCATAAAAATAAATAATGTAACATTTCCGATTAGTTTATTTAGTTAAATAAATCATTCAGTAAATGAATCTGTTCAAAGTTAGCAAGCCTTTTTTAAATAAAACTAAGCAAACGCCCAAGATGATTAGTCAACTAGAACAATAACATTCCAATAGTACAAGGATTAAATTGCCATCTATAAGTGAGTGATGTAATCAACTCAGTAAGCAAGAACATATGTTTGTAAATTTGAGTTTGAGGTAGACTCTTACTGTGAAGGGTAGTGATATGTTTCACGACTCCCAAGAATATAAAACACGAGGCGGACATCATACTGAGTGCTTTAACCAATGTAAATTGATCACTAGGGGAGTAACAATTTCGATGACAGGTTATGAAACCGGCTCAGAGGATTTACTACATCTGAGTTTGTTTTGACTTACTGAATAAGATAGCAGAATACTAAAATATTTAAAGACATACACTAAGACAAACCAAAAGTTGACGGTAACCTTTAATCCAATTAACTTGATTAGCATAATAACGTATCGGGTGATAAGAAATGCAGGAACGTCTAAAACTTCAGCCAGAACTATTCACAAAAATGATGTCAAAAATCTCTTTCTTGAATTTTTAAAACATGTACATGAAGTTGATTGTAACGCTTTGAAACCAAGATGTTTAGCGTTTTATTCTCAGCAATATCCATGAATCTTCTATTGACAAACATATGTTCTGCACTGTTTCATCATCAGATGGGATTGCGAAAGGCTAACTTTTATTGTTCACTCAGCTGCTACAGTTAAGTTAAATATTAATTTGGGATGGATATATAGTACGATTTCACCTATGGCCTACCTTGTGACATTATTTCTGTTCTTATGAATCACGTAACCAAGTTACTACATATCATCGAGCAATAAAAGTTCAAAGAATAGATCAGACTTACAGATGACAACTATTTAAAGCTTACTAGGTAACGAATTCCATTATATTTCTATGACTGATAAGAAAATGTTACTTAAAGTGAACAATCATCAATTTATGATTTCACAAAAAGGCTGACTATGTGCGGTACATCAAACAACGCTTTACTTACAAAGACTGGACTAAAAGTCTCTAATGTGAAAATATATAATATCATAATACTTCTGTACATTGTGCAATGAATAGAAACTTTACAAAAAATAATAATGTAAGTTATTATTTTACATATCTTCCACTGCCCAACGTTGAGCTATTTCACGTTCAACTCGTCGGCGAGTTTGATCTTCAACTATTTTCTTTTCAAAGCCATTACTACGATCCACACCATCCCAACGGAAACCAGGCCATATATTATAACGATTTGGAGGTGGTTCAGGACCTTTGTAACGGGGTCGAGTATCTTCTTCATCATCATCGCCACTATCGTCTGATTGAGATGAATATGAGATGTCGGAATGAGATGAATCTATAGATAACCATAGACAATACGGTGCATCAAAATAATAGAAGATGGATAAACTGATCAGTTCTATCATTAAAAATGTATATCAATAATACATACAAAACTCCGAAAGAACTAGTTGCCCAAATGATTATCAGTCCTTAAAGAAAAATCTTGAAGTTTATTGACCACAGTATGGAATTTGAATTAAAAGCAGAGAAAAGAACAAAAAGAAGATAGAAGCACATTTGCGACAGATTTATAAGTTAAACGAATATCTACCACACATAAGGATTTAACTAAGTTAAAACGCAGAAGTTTCGCAGTAGTTGAGGTTCATTTTATTTGAAAAACAAGTTGAAGGATGTTTTAAGATAAATAAAAGTTAGCAAAGAATAGGACAATGGTTTCAACATTGCTAACACTTGCATATGAAGATTTAGTCAGTCAGTCAGTAACAACATGGAACTTCATACGTACGTACATCAGTTCGAGTTGCCATACCACGTTAGCACAGAGATTCAGTTATCGATTCAATTCCCATAGCGGTAGAGGTACTGAAAGTATAAGTAGAGATAGGGGACATTAAGGTTTGATGATGTTATTTAAGGAGTATAGTCCAGTGGAATAAATTGGGAAAGAAAATAAAGGACATGAAGAATTCAGAAGATTAGAGTTTGAGAGAACACAAAGAGTGGATGCACCTGCGCCATTGCAAACGATTTTGAGCCATGTCATTCAAGGTCTCTAACCATCGGTTGCTAACGTCTCGCGAACCCCAACCAGGTAGTCTACACCTACCAACATGGCTCAGTCCACTTGTCAGCTACTTCATGGATTTGTGCCATGTTTTGGTCTGGCCGCCCCTTACCTTTGTTCCAACCTACTCCTATACCAGAAAACATCACACGTCGGGGTAGTCGGTGGTCGGGCATGCGCCACACATGTCCCAGCCATCTCAACTGATTAAGTTTCACTACTTCCTCAATTGATTTGCCATCCTTACCTAGTACCCGTTTCATAACAACGGAGTTACTTACTCGGCGTTCCCAGGATAAACGAGCGATGTTTCGAAGACACCTGTGATCAACTACTAGTAACCTACGAATATCCTCTACTCTTACTGGCCATGTTTCACTGCCATAAAGTAGGACGGAACGAACTGCTGCGCAGTAAACACGTCCTTTGGTTGATAGACGGATATCTCGCCTACGCCACAAATGACGCAAGTTGGCAAAAGCTAGTCGAGCCTTTTGTATCCGTGCTGAGATTTTGTCACACACCAAACCACAAGGGCTGATGAGACTTCCGAGATAAGTGAAGCGGTCGACACGTTCAAGTACTCCACTCCCTATCATTAGTTCGGGTGCCGATGCAACCCAATCCTGAAGCAACATTTTGCATTTCGAGGGAGAAAATCGCATGCCGAACATGCTTGCATTGTTGCTTAGAGTGGTCAGCAGACTCTGCATTCTGTCAGCGCCTTCACTAAATAGAACGATGTCATCGGCATATTCTAAGTCAACAAGTGAATCTCCCGGTAGAAGTTCAACTCCTGGAAATTTAGATGAGGAAAGTGTCATCTCTAAAAGGACGTCAACGACAAAGTTAAACAAGAATGGAGAGAGTGGACAGCCCTGACGAACACCACTTGAGGTAATCAATTCTGATGACAGTTCACCATAAACTCTCACTCGACCAGTTGTGTTCGAGTAGAGAGCCTTTATAAGGTTGATGTACTTCTTTGGTACTCCCTTCAGTGACAAACACTGCCAAGAAACCTCACGATCAACCGAGTCAAATACTACCATTGTGGGGCGTCTGAATGTGTGTCTATGTTCTAGGACCTGACGTAATGTGAATATTTGATCAATACAACCACGTCCAGGTCGAAAACCAGCCTGGTTTTCTCTAGTCTGCTCTTCACGAGCTTTGGTTAGACGTCGAAGTATTATTGAAGCTAATATTTTAGACACTATATTAGTCAAACTAATTCCTCTGTGATTGTCACAGGAGGACTTTTGTCCTTTCTTATAGACTGGCACAATCAGTGATTGAGACCAGTCAGATGGGATTACGTCCAGTTCCCAGATTCTACCTAAGACCTCAGTGAATCTCGCTGCTAATACTGGACCGCCATCCTTAAAAATCTCAGGGGTAAACCTGTCAGGATGCAAAGAACACTACTTCCGACTACTACACAAAACTACTGGTAGATTTGATGACTACAATTTACGAGAAATAAGCAATCATTAAAACAGTAATTTCCAAGTTTTTCAAAGAAAAAACATAAAGGAAAGTGAAGATAAACAATGAGTGTTGAAATACACCTGGATTGGGGAGAAATTTAAGATGACAAAATCAAAATGTGACAATAATCCATGACGTTATCCACTGACCACGAGAACTACGTCAGGAGTTTCTAGTTGGAGTCCATGTATAGACTAGGAATCCGTCGCAGTGATGAAGTAAATAATTAAGAAAGACTAATTTATCTAATCCACATCATTTTATTTATTCTCTAACAGTTTTAGCAACAAGCCTATTGCTATGTTTGGATGTTACTGTGATGTTTGTCTAACTTTTACTACTCTATCAGTATTGGGGTTGTGGAGATTATTAAGTCTTTGATTGAGATCATGAACCGACTGATGTTAGACCACCGTTGGAAACCTGGAAGCACTGGACGGCCGTTTTGTTCCAGTATGGGACTCCCCAACAGTGAGCATCCACGATCCCATTCGCGGGATTCGAACCCAGGGACTACAGTCTCGCGCTCGAACGATTAACCTACTGGACCATTGAGCCGGCATCCAATGGTGTTAGTGTCTAACATCAACCAATCCACCTTCCATTGTACTAATATAGATACCCGACCACCGACTGCCACGACGTGCTATGTTTTATGGTGTAGGAATAGGTTGGAAGAAAGCTAGGGGCGGCCAGACCAAAACATGGCACAAATCCATGAAGTCACTGACAAGTGGACTGAGTCATGTTGGTAGGTGTAGACTACCTGGTTGGGGACCGCGAGACGATAGCAACCGATGGTTAGAGACCTTGAATGACATGGCTCAAAATCGTTTGCAATGGCGCAGGTGCATCCACTCTTTGTGTTCTCTCAAACTCTAATCTTTTGAATTCTTCATGTCCTTTATTTTCTTTCCCAATTTATTCCACTGGACTATACTCCTTAAATAACATCATCAAACCCTAATGTTCGCTATCACTACTTATACTTTTAGTACCTCTACCACTATGGGATTTGAATCGATAACTGAATCTCAGTGCTAATGTGGTATGGCAACTCGAACTGATGTACGTACGTACGAAGTTCCACGTTGTTACTGACTGACTGACTGACCCGTCTCTCTCCAAAATCATACAGCCTACATCAACATGCATATGTCGCGTCGGAAGGTTATCAATTTAAGAAAGTAGGTGATTTACAAACTACGCAGTCTGCGATTGAGATGTCGCTAATGACAATCCGATGTGAAACTGCATTGCATAGTCAATATTCATTTAATGTAAGACAAAGTAGTCAGTCCAGATAGAAGTACAACTACGAACTTTGTATACAACCGAAACTCAAGTAAGTGGACTTACGTTTATGTTTTTTCTTCTTGTGACTTTTCTTCTGTCGCTTCTTCTTAGCTGATTTCTGGACAAAATACTGAGCCATAGGATCTTCAGAATGTATTTGTGACTTCAAGTGTTCTGTAAGATCTTTATCACTAGCATATCGTGCCAGTGGTTTCGAACTTTCATATTCCTGTTCCTTAAGTTTATTATAAGTTTCTTCTAGAGTTTTGATGCTATTAGAGAAGAAAGATGTATCTTATTCAAACCACTAGACAAACCCTTTATTCCATACATCATATCTGGCTTCTAACTCTGCCTCCTTTCTCGATTTATCACCTTGTTTTGACTTTTTGTCTTTGAGTAAAGTTGCTTGTCGAACCACTGTAGGTAATGGTTCTACGAATGATGGATCTGATGGAAATTCAAAACTATCCGCATCTGTTTTATAGAATGCATCTAAAGTTTCAGGGAGATCTCCACTAAAATAGAAACAATTTAAATATAGACCGCTATTTAAATAGAGGGACTGGTTTACTGACTAAATCTGACAGTAGGTTGACAATTTTAAAGACAACCAACTATTGTAAAACAGATTAAACTAAGAAATGATTACGTGAGATTACAAACAAAAATATGGTAATAAGACACGGTCATAAATTCGTACTCTTCTCAAGAATAATTGTCTAGGTTAAAGGATCCCTAACAGTTAAACTAATCCTTCCTTTGCGTTGCCAAAACTAAGTTACTAAACAGTTGGAAATAGACAGTTAATCTAAAAAGGTGATAAGGCTTTGTTACACAATTACACACAGTGACAACGCAATGCTAGAAGTTTCTAGAGTGTTTTGTATAAATGATTGTTTTCTTACACTAAAACAATAATGCAAAATGAAACATTGAGCCCGCTAACATTTTAGGGAAATTAGCTAATTGAAGACGAATCGAACTCGATCGAGGCTGGAAGCATACTGAATTATTTTAGAAGTTTCTTGAGGTATAATACGCCACCCATCTGACGCTTGGTTGAAAAAATCAGCACAGATCTTTGCCAGTTTAGCATCCTGGAGTCTTAGAGATCAACAGGTATGGTAGTATGGAAAAACATTTCTCAATAAAGCAATAGGACACATGGAAGTTCACATCTTACTCACACCAAAGTAGTATGACTTCAGTATTGTCTACTTGGAAAACATCATGTGAAAAAACTGCCTACTGAGGTAGGTGGTTTCCGGAGTGTGTAACTCCATGAACATTTATCCTAATGGTCTAATCATCTCAATATCGTAAAAACACCCATGACAATGGCTTTAAACGCATGACCATAAAGAGGACTTTGAGAAGACAGCTAGACTTGGGATTAAGGACAACATAGACCCATGCGACAGTGACAACGTAGTACTAGAAGTTTCTAGTGTTTAGTATAAATTATTGAGGAAACAAGAATGATTACCGTTTGGAATGTGCATATAATCATCATCAAGAGATGGCTTACAACATATGGAAGGCAGCTGATACATGACAACGAAACTTATTAGAAGGATTGTCTTCTTACATCAGATTACTGCAAATTGAGAAATTGAACCTGTCAACATCTTAAGAAGATTAGGTAATCGAAAGAAAGAAATCGATGCTGGAAGCATACTGAATTATTTTAGTGGAGGTTTTTGAGATGATATTGATATAATTAATTTTAATGGACTACCGACACACTTATCTTGGAAGTCTGATCAGCCCTAATGGGTTGGTGTCTGACGAAATCTCAGCACGGATTCGAAAAGCTAGTTTGGCCTTTGCCAACTTACGTCACCTATGGCAATGGCGAGATATCCGTCTATCAATTAAGGGACGAGTATACTGCGCGGCAGTTCGTCCCGTTTTACTATACGGCTGTGAAACATGGCCTTTAAGAGTAGAAGATACTCGTAAGTTACTAGTATTTGACCACAGGTGCCTTAGAAATATTGCTTGCATCTGCTGGGATCACCGGGTAAGTAATATTGAGGTTAGACGCATGGTATTAGGGAGTGATGGTACATCAGTTGATGAGGTTGTAAATCTTCATCGACTGAGATGGTTGGGCCACGTGTTGCGTATGCCTGAACATCGATTACCACGACGCGCAATGCTCACTGGTGTTAGGGATAATTGGAAGAAAGTTAGGGGCGGCCAAACCAAAACGTGGCATCAGTGCTTGAAGTCACTAACTTCTGGTCTGAGCCATGTTGGGAGATTCAGACTGCCTGGTTGGGGTCCGCGTGACTATCGTAACCAATGGTTGGAGACTCTTGGTGACATGGCTCAGAATCGATCACAATGGCGTCGGTGTATACACTCTCTGTCTTCCTTAAATTAAGAGATTAAAATCACTTCAAATCTTTCTTTCTAGGAACTCCTGCTTCGGTTTGGGCACCCGGGCAGTATCACAGCCCTCACACAAATAAATTGAGATATGTGTGGCGCATATGTATTTGGTGCCTCCCTGTACCTATACTTATGTGTTAAAATAAATAAATAAATAATTCTAGGAACTAATTCTTTCTTCGTGTACTATCTCCTTATACACAATCTTTCTTCTATATATCACCACCACTGAATTAACTACTTTTATGAATCCGGTGTTGATCTTGTTGTGCTAATGCGGTATGGCAACTTGGACCGATGCATATACGTGCCTGGTCCTACGTTGCAGCTGATTGACTGACTGACCGACACCGTATGGATTACCAGTGAGGTTTTTAAAGATGATGTTATTTTTCAAGAAGTTAAAATTGATGTTTGTTTAGATCGACAAATATGAAAATGGGCTAAAACGTTCATGACGAGACACAAATTTCCCTGTGACGTAAAGTACCATGGCCAAGATAATTGTCTTAGTAGCTGATATGAGAAACTGCTGCTATATATACGGAAACGAAGAGACAAAAGAATGGGTGGAAGTAGTGACTTGAAATAAGTTATTGATTAATTCATCATAGATAAATGCATATTAGACGCATTACTATGATCATTTGATAAGGCTTTGAAGTGTATTAAATCTTTGCCTGAAAAACTTCACACTACTGAAATTCTATCTACTATTTCTCGTCGGTTGATAAGAATTGTCAAGACTTTAAAACCAAGTATAATAGGATTAATCTGACTAAAGATGTCAAACAGGAAAGAGCAAATTAATCTGGACTGAAGATACAAATGTAAAGGCATCTCCAAATCTATTCAGTCACGTTTAGTGCTCCGTTCCTAGCATCCTGACCAGACTTTCCTTTCGAACTTACACTACATTGAGTAATGTGCACATCGGGGAAACCTGAGGAACGTTATCTTAAATTGCATATCAGTTAAACAGCTGACTGCAAACTTCTAAATTAAGGAACGGAACCATGGAGCAATAATTTGGATGTTGACCACAATGAACTTTGAAGAATTGACTTAGCTCGAAGACTTACGAAATGTATTTCACTGTGATGTCGTTAACTGCCTTCCGTTTCTTTTTACTACCCACAGGTTCAAGGTAGCGTTTCAAGTACTCAGCTTTATTGTCCTTCGAAGGGTCGTTTGTAATCATTTGAAGTTTTGGGAACCATTGGCCTTGACGTTCAATTTACAGTACATAAGTATGCAATAACCAATATATTTGCTATAAACTCAAGCAAATAACATGGTTTTTCTGTATGTGGTTCATGGTGCTATAGTGAACTTCACCCATATTCTATAGTAATATTGGTGTTACGCTGATTATTCTATGCTAGTTCATTCCCTCTGTTCAACTGAAGATGTCTGGCTTCTTTCTAAAATAAATTTTGGTTGGAGATGACACCATTTGGTAAAGAACACTTTCTCAGACCACTGAACAGAAGAATCAAGGCTGCGAAGCATATATATCAGGCCGTGGTTCGTAAACAATTTTGTGATAACTTCAGAAATGCCTACTACCTAATGAACCAAGTGGGCAAAATATTTCAGCACTAAAGTCGTTCGACAAGGCGTCAAACGCTAAATCAAGCTGTAGCTTCATAATAATATGTAATAAGGAGATTTGATTGCTTCAACTATTCGTCAAACGTGATATTCAAAGGTGTACTACAAAATTGGTGTCTTGTTTCTGATCATTTTCACACGTAGAGGAATTTGGGTTAAGTATGCTAGAAAATCTAAACTGAGGGTGATCAACCTATAGCAAGACTTCTAGCACATAACAAACTCGGTAAACAAAAATTCGCATAACAGTACATTCCAAATTGAGTAGTGGTAACGAAGCAAAGCTGTATAGAAACGGTTTCCAGGGTCAAAGTCAAACTAGATATACTGTCACAGATTTGAGGGTCACTTTCACTGGAATCGCTCGCACACAAGTTACTCAAAATCTTAAGTAGTTGTTCTTGGACTGAAACATATATCGGCGGACACTGTCGCTCTCAAAACAAATACCAGTGGATATAAATCTCGGATAGATTCAATAAAACTGGCAACGTAAATAAGTAAAGCCTAGCACTACCACCGTGAAATCTGAGTTGGCTTATTGACAATACTTTAATCTGTATAGAACGATCAAACATGTAATACTGAAGGATCGATCGTCAGTCATACAGTCACTACGGCGGCAAAATAACGTGAATAAACGTTCAAAGTATTTGAACATGTATTAGAAATCAAAGATATGTTTGGAATATCCCTCAATATAGTATGAATTGAAAATGTATTTCTATTACGGTGTAGGAAACCTTTCATTGGTATTCATGATCGGTCGTCAACCATACAATCAAAATCCCTGAACTCAGACAGCCTGTTTGTAATAAGTAGCAGATATGAAAGAATCCATGTTATACTTGTCTTGCAAAAAATCAACTCTTGTGACTTCGAGCTATGTAGAAATGACAGGTACAATACTACGTGATATTGTCAACTTCAGAGCCGAAGAAATTTCGACTTTCAGAAACAGGCATTGAGACGTCATGTACTGCAGTAAAAGGGAACATCATGGCTCTTGTCCTGTATATATACACTACAGACCATGCAGAGTATCAGCCTGAAACTAGAATTCTTGTTTTGATGAAAGTTCAGTATGTTATCGAATCTCTGCAGAAAAGCACTTGTTGTTCATCACTACTTTTAGTGTTATGTAGAATTACGGTTTACTATGACATTAGCACTGCTCTAATAATAGACCCAATCCTAAAATTGTAGATTTATCATGATGTAACTGCCTAATCTATAAGGTCTTACGTGGAAGTTACACCATCGTCTACACCGATTCATTGCATCGTAACGATCACCAATAAGTGATAGAGAACAAGCTTAGGCTAGAGATAGAATATATTTAATATGAATAAAAGATACAAGATAACATTCAGCTGGGACCACGCCTGCAAGGCCGAGCCATGCCATCCGATCAACTCGGACTAATCCAATTTATTCCTTATTCCCGCCTTCTCCATTGTTGGGTATTTCCCAGTGTTAAATGTTGAATGTCTATTTTCCATTTTGTCTCGTGTTAGGTCTCAATGCCACTACAGTTATTCACATTCCTAGTAACAAAATGCGGTGATTTTGATAAGCAAAACTTTGGGCGTTTAAAAGTTATGGCCGCTCATTTAGCCAGGTATAAAATAGTGCGATATTTAAAAGTGAAAACATCTTTTTACGTAGTTTGCAATATTTTCGATTTGTTCTTCTGTGGACAATATTAAACAGTGATCATCGTTCTCCCTTGAATATCGGATGCGTTTTACTTCAGGAAAATAATTTTGACGAACACTTACGGTTTAATGCCCGCGTATCGTGGACTTCCTCTCCTGTGTATGCTAAATAAGCTCTGGCAACTGGCGTTGACATATCCTTATCTTTGACTTATACTAAATGAAGTATAAATATTCAATTGACCGTTACTTTTACGTTATAACTGAACACTTTATATTTGAGTTACAATACATGATCCTAGAATTAACCCGGTTAATAATAATAAATATATGCTCAGGTGTTCTATTTGGACGAGCAAGCTCTCTACTCTTCCAGCTTCAAATTATGGCCATTGACTCTGGTAAAAAAGAAATTTCACAAACTTCCAAGCCAACTAAAATGTCACAATCTGCAAATGCTTTGTGTGACGATTCAGTAATTGACAATGTGAAAACTTTGTCCTATGAACTCTTTGTATCTTGTCCACAAATATCACCATCAAAATCATCGCTGCCACATTTTTCGTATAACAACGTCTCTTTCTCTTCGTGCAGTATGCCAACGGTAGGACTGGTTGACATAAAACACACAAAAACTCATCAATCTACCTGAGAGTATATTTTAAGGACGCCTAAATCCTAAATTCCAAAAACCATGTGGTCTTATACATTATCTCACACACGAAAATACTCCTACTAGTGGTACTCTACAAGATGACTGGAATGAACCTAAATTCGCCTCACAAAGCCGAAGAAACTCCCCGGTACTGACAAAAAGGTTGGGGAGACCAAATGCACGATACAGAATGCGGAAGCACGTAAAATCGAACCCAATTTTATCTGGTTATCCGAACAACAGTGAACAGGTTCTTACCACTGATATCATATAACTTCCCATCAACACCTCCAAGTAGCAAAACTGGTAGTAGGATTGAGCGTAACAAATACTTCAATCACCCCCTATAGCTTAAAGCCACAAGTAAACGTTGTAATAATAGATTTCTTATCGCATACCCTATCTCGTTTCCCCCGGGACTCCAATTGTAATTACTGCGAGAAGGAAATATTTTCGCACTTTTCAGTACCAACCGACCACATAAAAATGCCTCCAGTGTATATTAACAGTCAAAAGTACTTCTAGCTACGTGCAGCAGATCTTTCTCACGTCCACACTAACGCAATTAGTTGCAACCGAAGCCTCGAGCTTAACTATCAAGACTATCTTGCAAATGACAGCACACCTCAAAGTCAAGCTGTAAAATATTTTTTTGAAACACGACCCCCAGTGGCTCTTCTGTTGCAGCATACACCTCAAGTCATTACAAACCGCATGAGAAAAATAAACTTGCTTCTTGATTTTCAGTCTAGGATGCGAAAAGTCATGTATAATTTATTGTGTATCAAGAGAATGAACATTGGAATCAGTATGTCAGTAGCCCTATCAAACGCCAGAATATCTTGGACGTAACCCTTCTCAGCGGCTTTACCCCCGATATCATGGACAATGAAAAAATTTCTCGCGGTACCGATCGTAACATTATCACATATAGCCTTAGTATAAAAACCGCAACGCTAGACGTAAGACTGTAACATCTCTTGAAAACCATCGGAAGATCGATCGGAAGTTCTTCGAAAATCACCCAGGAGAAGCCGGTTGGGGGACTTTCCTTACGGTAAACAGTACCGGCTTACTAAATGATGAATTTACTGGATTACACAGCCTGAATGTCATTTCCTCTTTAGTTATGGTAACAGAAATATTTGTCTGCGCAGAAGCAATACGTAGACTAGAACAGTCGTGCACGGAAAGCTTGTTGTCGAACTTAATAGTACGTTTTCGTCTATCAAACGCCTTCAAAGTAAACTTAAAAGTACTAAATCTAAAGAGGAAACGTATTTTGGAGTCAAACAGGTATACAAAGATGATAAACTTGTTACGGAACTACTGAGTGAACATTTTTGTCACTCATTTACTGATGAACAGTCATTAAATGTATCAAAACCACTTTCAAGGCCTTTCTGTGAAATTACTAATCTAGACTTGAATGTACAGATTATTTCTAAGGCAAGGAACACACTGAAACACTCCTGCACGGATGGACCAGATGGTGTTCTGGATAGCATGCTAAAACGTGAGAGTTATGGCCTGTATTTTATTTCTGTGTGTTTTTCACAAAATTAGGACGGAAAATGAAGCAAATGGTAATCATAACCGGCCCATAAACATAACTTCAATGGTATCTAGAATGATGAGAAAAGTTGTTAAGATGGCGTTAGTTCAACATCTACTTACTAATAATCTCATCTCAATCTCTCACCATTGGGTTGTTAGGTTTAGATCATACAATACTAACCTAGTAGACCACCTGAGTGATATAGATCTGACATAGAGCAACGGATTTCTTGCATCAATCCTATCTTTGGACTTCAAGAAAGTCTTTTTTAGACTCTCACTCAAACGGCCTTTTGTCAAGCTAAGTCCTTCGGAATCAAAAGCCCACTCTATTCATGGTTTGCTTAGTTCTCAACAGAACATGAACAAATGGTCAAGTACAATGATTTTCCTCCTCCATCTAGACCAAAAACTAGTGGAGTCATCTAAGGATGTGTATTAGGTCTACTCTTGCTTCTTATGTGTATAAACGATATATGTTACACTCTAAAATTTGGGTAACCACAAGTATACGCCTTTGATCCCAAAATAGTATACGGCTTTAAGCCTGAAGCTTCAAGTGAAAGTGTATCCCAGACTAAAAGTGACCCCAACACCCTAACTGTCTGGAGCAAAAAATGGCAATTATCACTTAACTGCAACAAGTGCGGGATCATGCATTTTGTAAAACATCCCTATGATTTACACGATCTAGGTATTACTTGAAAAGGAAGCCTGAAGTTTAAATCTAGACGGCTAATTGGTTTCACAATGAAACATTTCTTCACAACAAAGGCTAAGACTACCCTTCACAAAATATGCATACGAATCACCCTTGAAAATTGCTTTTTTATCCTTACAAACGTGAATACCACAGAACAGATATAGTAGAAGATATGCAAAGACTCTTCGCACTCCGGCTGCTGGGATGTGGCTAAACTCCTATAGTGATCTACTTTTATGAAGATAACGCGATTGGTGCAATGAAAAAATTTATTATTATAACCAACTGTATTATTGATTGCTTTACTGTACTGTGTTGTTCAATTGTACCAAAAACACAATTCTTTTGTTTTTTTTGACCTTGAGCTTACTCATATACACATGGTAATCTTGCCTGTAAACTTTGGCACAGTCTCAATATTGTTTCAATACCAACAAATAGTAAAGGCAGACAGGATTCAAAAGCATAAAGGTGAGGAAGTAGCTCTATTCATTCGGAAGGCTGTCCCATTTGCCATTATCGATAATGTATTCAATGAAAATTGGACTTGTGAATTAGTTAGTTGCCCCTTGAAATGCAAGAGATAAGAGCTGTTGATTGGTTTGGTCTATCGCAGCCCAAGCTGTGAGGTAAATGAAGTCCTGCTAGGCAGTCTCAATACTTGGTCACAAAGTGGTTGATGTCTAATCCTAGGGGATATTAATGCACCAATGGTAGACTGGAAAATCTGCGAAATGGATTGTCAGATAATTCCTTCAAAAAGGAACTAGTTGATGCGGTTATCACATGTCCCTAGTGCAACATGTGAGAGAAGGGACTATGTGCAACCCGAACTCTCAATCATTTTTACCAGATTTCATATTGACTCATCATGAGGACGATGTTGTGAACCTCGATTACATGCCATTCCTAGGTAAAAGTGGTCATGCAGTTTTAACCTTTGATTTCCATACAATTGTCAATCACAAGCACGAGTCTGTCCAATCCTGACCTAACGTCTGGAAAGATACCATGCATTTAGTATCGTCAGTAGATTTATCAATAGAGCCAGAGTCCTCAGTGGACACGGCTTGTGATGGGTTTCGTAATTTATAGTTAAACTTTACCACACTCCACATCCCTTTGACTACACCGAAGAGTTCGAGAAAATCTACACGATGGTTCAGTAGGGAGGTTCGCATCCTTTCCGTAAGAGAAGAAAAATGTGGGATAGATTTAAGTTACTGGGGACTGATGAAACGAAGTCATAGTATCGTGAAGCTCGGAATACCTGTGCCTCAACCCTCCTTAAGTCTAGAAGGTTGTTCGAAGGGAAATCGATAGAATGTTCTGAACGCTTGTATTCGTATATAAACCAAAGGAACGAAAAAAGGGAAAATATCTCTGCACTATGGGAAGACAGTAATGCTTTGGTAAGGCTCAAGTATTCTGAAACTCCTTTAGCAATGTATATGCCATAAAAGCACTCTTCCCAATCCATACGAATCCGCACACACAAATACTGGACTGCGTGACCATTACGGAACTCGATCACTTTGGTCTGTTAAATAAGCCTGACCCGAACAAAACCACAGGGCCAGATGAACTGCAACTCGGGTTACTAAACAGACTAGCCAACTTTGTTGCGAACTCTTTAATTATATGCTTTAATCTATCCGTAACCCGGGGTCGTTTACCTAAAGACTGTAGGAACACCGCAGGAAATCTTGTCTTTAAAACAGGTACGAAATATAAACCTGAGAATAACCGACTCGTTAGCCTAACTAGTGTGATTGTTAAAATCTTAGAAAAGATTATTCGGAAGGAACTGTTTATATATCTCGATGATAACTGGATCCTTTCGGAGAAGCAACATTGTTTTAGTATAGGTTATTCCTGTCTCACCAACTTATTAGTGGCCCATGAAGGCTGACGAGCCTTAAGCAGTAGATGCAGCCTATATCGACTTCAGCAAAGTTTTTGACAAAGTTCCGCATAACCGGCTGTTATATAAGTTAAGAGATGTCGGGGTTGGAGGCAATCTATTGATGTGGATAAAAGACTACCTAGTTGGGCTCCAACAAAGAGTACGGATGAACTCGAAGTTGCCTAGCAGGGAAACTGTACTTAGAGGAGTGCCCCAGTGTACAGTTTTGGGGCCAAAATGTCCCGGAGAAATTATCTGAATGGTCTCATACCTGGTAGTTGCCAATAAATACTTCCAAGTGTATTGTGATGCATATCGGTCATCAAGATACAGATACATACACGATGAACAACACTGAGCCACTCGTTGTCCAAACACACAATGACTTAGGAGTCATCATTAACCAAGACTTAAAGACTACTGCGCCCTGTCGTGCAATGGCCGCCGAAGGTTTTAGAACGTTATGGTCAATACGTTAGGCTTTTAATCATGTCTATGTTAAAAGGTTTTTGACTTTGTATACAGTGTTCGTAAGTCCTAAATGTGAGTACTGCGTACAAGCGGTTAGCTCCTGCTTAAAAATGACATTAAAATTTGGAAAAGGTTCAGAGAACAGTGACTAGACTGATTTCCGGAATGACGAAGGTCCCATATGATGTTCTACTGGCTAGGCTAAACCTATTCCCTTTGTCATATCAAAGAACTAGAGACGACTTGATTACAGTTTTCAAATTGCTTGGTGATAAATTTGCATCTGATATGCCCTCATTTTTCCTGTCTTCCAAAACAGAGAATTTACGAGGACACTTCAAAGAACTTTACAAGCTCAGGACAAATCACTTATCCGATGACTATCGACTTACCCATCAACGAGTGGAATTCTTTACCTCATCACGTGGTTTAGGCTTCATCCGTTGACCCTTTCAAAAGAAATTTGGATCAACTAAGAGACCATCAATGCGAAGACTAACACAAGCCATCAAGTTTCCTGTACTTCCAAAACTAAAACTCTCACATTATTTATTGACTATTAGTCATGACCTTATTCTCCTAACCCTCAATTCCAGAATCCGAGTCCCTCTAATGATCATAACTTCATTACTATTTTTCTGATTATAATACAAGTGAAACTCACTGATTTCGTGAATGCTGAGAACCAACGTTCAACCGCGGCTTTTGAAGGTCGTGACTTTTTGAAAGGGACTTTATTTTGTTTTCCTATTACGTTTTATTTTTGACTTAACACCTCATCTTGGAACTCAACTTCATACATTACGTTTGCTAGTTTTCACACTGTCCACCACTCTTCGTTCATTGAAGTTCATATATTAGCTCTTAACAAATATTGAATCTGATCCCACCATAGAATTTCATACATCTAATTAGGTAGGTTATAACAGTCACTGTTCACTCAATACAAATCTTATATTTACATTACTTCCAATAATGTCAGGACCATCTAAAAAAATGTCTATAAAACCTTGTGAAGATCTAAATCAGTCACTAAAGTGAATAATGTGAAGCTTTATAAACACACTGATCAGTCTGCATCCTACTCCAATTTATTATTATAAATTAAAAAGCAGCTTTAAATAAGTTTCAAAGTATTCCAAATTAATATCTGTGCATATTGGTTAACTAATTAAAACACTTAATTAAAAAGCATCTCCTAATCGTATCAAACGATTGTCTCATTCGGTTTTTTCCCATTGCTGCATTTACAATCAATGAGTAAATTTAAAGAAAGTTGTGAATTGATGATAAGCACCAAATATTCATAAAACAATACGAACATAGTATAGGTTTCAGTAAAATGTTCGCGGTGCCTGTCCAGATAATCTTTTGTGAATATAATCACCTGCAATTATGAAAACGTAAATGATTATTTCATTATTGATAAAATAACATCTACATATTTGTCGGTGAAATATTAGACATTTTAACGTGTGGGGTTATTAGCCTAATTAATGAACATCCAACATACACAACAAATGAACAGTTAGTGCTTTGTATTTTGATCTGTCAAATATTGACAAGTAATGGTATGCATAACAGAGCATTAACAAATTGAGCCATTCAAATAAGGAGATGAATAAGGCGATAAATACGTTGCCACTGAATGTTTCCTTTTCAGCCATTCAGCTTTGCATCTCGTAATCTTTCCTTCAAAATGTTTCATGATGAATTTTTGTGAATGATCTGGACAGAAAACATTAATGCTTCCAAGTTCTAATCACTACAGAATTCTATCTTCAGATGCATTATAATAGATGGAAAGTTATTTGTATTAACATTTATTTATTTATTCAGAACTTACAATAAACGTTACGCAGCACCAACAAATCCAGCCATCACCTTGAAAAACATACTAAAATAAAGGAAAAAAACAATTCACTTCAATTCGTCATGAATCTATGCAATTATTGGTGAAGAAACAGTACTACTCTATCAATAAACCTTACCGATTTTAAACTAATATGTACCACTTCATGTAAGAGATCAGTCACTCTGTTGTCCTGAATTTCGACATTATGTACCAATCATGTCTCAATCTTGACGGTTGTTTAAACAACGACTTAGTTCCGTCTAGGACTGTATCATGAAACATTCAAGCTGACCATTTCAAGAATGTCACATCGTTGCTTGAAGATGTATCGTTCTGGTTTTATTGTTGCTTACGGTAGTCGAAATAATGAATTAGTTTGTTCAGTGACTGTATCTGGTTTTGTTGTAATTACCATTCTGTCACACAATCATGATATATAGACAGTACTGAGAATCAAAATCTCAAATGATAACATTATTTCATGATGCTTTGTACCAAGAGCATACAGTGTAAACTTTACAAACGCTTGCGTATGTTTATCAGTTTCAATTAATGTGTTAAAGGGCGCGGTTTCATTGCGAAATTTATGCGTGATGAAAACATCATGGTTGGTAAAAAACACTTTAGTATTCACTAACGCGGCAAAATGACGTGAATAAGCGTTCAAAGTAGTTGAACATGTATTAGAAAACAAAGATATGTTTGAAATATCCCTCAATGTATTATTAAATCAAAATGTATTTCTATTACGGTGTCTAGTACTTAATGAACCATGTAGGCAAAATGTTTCGGCACCAAAGTCGTTCGACAAGGCATCAAACGCTAAATCAAGCTGTAGCTTCATAATAATATGTAATAAGGAGATTTGATTGCTTCAACTATTCGTCAAACGTGATATTCAAAGGTGTACTACAAAATTGGTGTCTTGTTTCTGATCATTTTCACACGTAGAGGAATTTGGGTTAAGTATGCTAGAAAATCTAAACTGAGGGTGATCAACCTATAGCAAGACTTCTAGCACATAACAAACTCGGTAAACAAAAATTCGCATAACAGTACATTCCAAATTGAGTAGTGGTAACGAAGCAAAGCTGTATAGAAACGGTTTCCAGGGTCAAAGTCAAACTAGATATACTGTCACAGATTTGAGGGTCACTTTCACTGGAATCGCTCGCACACAAGTTACTCAAAATCTTAAGTAGTTGTTCTTGGACTGAAACATATATCGGCGGACACTGTCGCTCTCAAAACAAATACCAGTGGATATAAATCTCGGATAGATTCAATAAAACTGGCAACGTAAATAAGTAAAGCCTAGCACTACCACCGTGAAATCTGAGTTGGCTTATTGACAATACTTTAATCTGTATAGAACGATCAAACATGTAATACTGAAGGATCGATCGTCAGTCATACAGTCACTACGGCGGCAAAATAACGTGAATAAACGTTCAAAGTATTTGAACATGTATTAGAAATCAAAGATATGTTTGGAATATCCCTCAATATAGTATGAATTGAAAATGTATTTCTATTAGGGGTGTAGGAAACCTTTCACCAGTATTCGTGATCGGCACACTTTATAAGGAATACTGTAGCTATTCGAGTAAACCGTTAGCAAATCAATAATAATCACTAATCACTACTGGTTTTTTTGAAAAATATGAATAGATCAACTTACGTCGTTTAGTATCAAGCCTAAAATAAAAAGAATGAATCCAATTCCTGCAAATACACAACATACCACGAACAAGATCATCTTGAATTTTGTTTCTTCATCTTCTAGCTTAATACCCATAAAAAAGGCTAAGGTGGCTAATCCGCTAGCCACAGGTAGGGCAATAATTATCTCATACACTTCTGCACACGAGATTAATAATGTAAAACCAACAGTCGTAAATATCACCTGAATAGGGAAAAATAGTTTCAAATTATCATTAGTTCATAAATTAAACCAGTCAACAACTGGACAAATAATGGAAGAATAATGTCTACTATCCTTGTTAAGGCCCTTCATTTTATCGCTATTTAGGTTAGACGACCTATGTTGTTGTGCTCTCCACTTTGGTGGTCCGAGGTCTGACTCCACGTAGATCGCATAAATGATCGTTGTTGAAATATATATGTCGCCTATCCTTGTATATAATCATCGACTTAAATCGTGTTAGTCATTAACGGAATTAAATGAGTCAAATAACCAGAATCGACTTTTGAATACATATATTTTTTATATGAAGCGAATGGGATAGGGAAAAGAGAAACGACACGCAGTAGAAATGGCGCGTAAGCTAACTCCTCTTTAACCGAACGTTAATCAATATTTATAAGTACACAAAAATAAGTTACAGAAATGTGACCAGTAATGGGATAAGAAGTATACACACACCTACGCGCTCATATAAAAACAGTCAAGGTTGATAAGCGAATAAATAACAAGTTCAGAATGTGACTGAAGTAGAATGAGTAGGTTGGGCTGTCCGACAGCTAGAATAAGGTATATGGGCTGAGCATAATAATTGACACTGCATGCTTCATTCGATTGAAATGTTTGACAATGGATATTTACGCATAAGATCAAATAAGGCGAAATACATATACAAGTCTATCATAATGACATATTTGGAATAGTTTCAAAGTTGATTCCCTCATTCAGTACACACGACCATGTTATGTGATGTTTATCACCTGAATTACGTAAATTATACCAACTTGGATAAACGATAAACTATAATGGCTAGTAATGTCTGCAACTTGAAGGACCAAATGATGACTAGAGTATCATAGAACACAGGTTCAAATGTAAACAAAGTGTGTATATGATCATGCAAAATAAAATGACAGAAATACATATTGATATGTTGTTCTGTATTTACAACTTATTTCATATCTTACAAATGGTTATAACAACAAACGTAGATGAGAGTAAAATGTATCGGTCTTACGTGTATCCAAGTTTACACACAAAGTGAAAACAAAGGTTCTCAAATACAACACGGAGAACTTTGAAATATGTGGGATCCTTTACGTACCTGGGAAGCATGATCGATGAACAAGGAAGAGAGGTAAAGTCTAGGACATGCAAAGCAAGGGCCGCATTCCTTCAATTGAAGAACATATGGAAATCAAAACAACTCCCAACCAATATCATAGTCAGAATCTTCAATACAAACGTCAAGACAGTTCTATTGCACAGAGCTGAAATTCGGAGAACTAACACAACCGTCATTGGAAAGGTACAATATCCATTGGCCGGATACCATCAGCAACAGCTTTCTGTGGAAGAGAACCAACCAGATTCCAGCTGAGGTAAAAATTAGGAAAGAACGTTCAAAGACGATAGAAAACACATTGTGAAAATTATTAAACTGCATGATGAGGCAAGCGGAAAAGATGGAGGTCAAAGAACACATTACTTCGGGAAATAGAAGCAGACATGAAAAGGATGAATTACGTCTGGAAAGAGCTGGAAAGGATTGCTCCGGACAGGGTTCGATGGCGAGTTCTGGTAGGCAGCTTATGCTTCTCCACGAGAAGTAACCGACGTAAGGAAGTTATGATCAAACTGGATCACCAATGATCTGATTTACAAATGTCAATATTTTTATGAAATCAGTGAAACTAGAGAAACTGGATCTCTAAACATCAAAGATTGTTTGATAATGATAACCGTTACCAAACTAACGTGAAAACATTATTATTCAACAAATAAGACTGAAGTAGCTTCAATGGATGGTTGGACGAAAATATCACGAATGAAATTTTAAAACAATATTCAACTAACGGTTATAACGATGAAGGAAATGCTTATTGTGAATGTAGAATGTAGTTTTCTAACAAATATGGTTATTATTCCAAGACCTAGGCCGATCAATCTGAAAAACGCAAGAAAAAAATTTACAACATAATCAAAGATAGAATAAACCATAGTTATGCACATCAAAAGTTCTACACAAACTGTATGCACGAAATGGTTGAATGCGTTCCTCAACTTCTCAGTTCAGCATTTACAAAAGTATATCTAATATGCCAGAGCAATCGACAAATGGATTACGTAGTGAGTGATCCACTGAATTATTCAGTTCATCCCCCGAATACGTTGTTACGGCCGAGGTTGGGGAGAATTAACATTGATTACAAAACGATGGTGCACATGGACACTAGGATCCTGAGGGAACAAATGTCGTTTGAAGGAATCGTTGGTTACCGGCTTCCATGTGACCACATCTGCTGACGCTGCACAAATGCCTTGAGGATCAGACTTTTAGGTTGAGGGCCTTGCGTGTAGCTCCCTAAGGAAACCGCCTGTTTCGGTCTGGTCACCTAGGCAGTATCACAGACCACACAAATCAAGTAACGTTTGTGGCGCATAAGTATTCGATGCCCCTCTGTATTATTATTCATGTGTTCAAATAAATAACTAAATATATTTCAGTATGATTATTTATTGTGATGTAATGTCACACAAAATAACAATACTATGCACTGGGAAAAAATCAAATATTCTGCTCTTCCTCAATCATAATATTCTTGTCACACATGAATCGAGCGTCTTAACACAGTGTATTATTCAGTTCATTGAATAATACGTAATAGTAATACAAGAAAAATTGTCGTTATAATTTCCGAAGAATACCTGCATTTTATGAATATATTACTTACGTTAAAATGAGACCACTGAGAACAACTGGATTTTTAAAATTTTGGAAGCTGAATTAGTCAAACGGAATGCCAAATGTCTTACATGCAACTAGAATTATTCTGACTGGTTTCACTTGACAAATCATCAAATGCTATTGCCGTCATCGTTTGACTCTTTGCAATTGAGATTTGTAGATAATTCACCTTCCTTAATCAGTAATTCCAGCGTTAACTGAAATAAGTACGAATTCACAATACAGTAAGGGAGATATTCAATTTCATGGATTACATAAAAAATTCAGTATTCATTCAGATGTTTATTTATTTCCTTTTTTATTGTACTTCGACAAGTATGGTTTCACGGACAGAATCTGAATTTCATCTGACCAGTTTGCTATATCATG